CAGCCCGGCACATCTCACTGTAGTGTGAGTGCTTTTAATTTTCCATGCCTTTAGGTTTCAATGCTGCGAAATTGAAGGTAACTCAGTCTTCCGCCAACGAAGAGCCTGGACTGTCGGAACTGGAAGAATTAGCCAGCGCCAGGCAAAGTGGGGATTATAAAACCAGGAGTCCAGGTGAGTGCTGCTAACAGTACAACAGATGACTTGCTAACAGGGATTTTGCTGGCAGGAGCCAGCAATTCTGCAATGACAATTTGCATAGCCCAAGAGCCTTCCCGTCAGACATCACAAAGCAAGCTGGGGAATCCTCCTTCCATGGGTCATTTACAATTAGAGCAGCTGCTGACAGCAGGGGAAGGCTGGTCCAGGGATTAGGTCACTAGCTGGGAACTGTAAGGCTGTGGGTTCAAGTCTCTCCTCTGTCAGAGAGCCCTCAGGATGTGGTTAATTCACCTTTGTGAGAGGTGGGAGAAGCTGCCCTGCCTAACCTAGGGGCTAAGCTAGAATCATTGCATGGGGAGATGGTGTTTTCAGTGTGGATGGGTCTTAGTTGCTCTGTGCCTCAGTTTCCAATCTATACAATAAGGACAATAGCACTGCCCTCCCCCATAGGGGTGTTGTGAGGATAAATGCCTAGAGCACAGCCTGGTGATCATTCTAGCCTAACACCCTGCAGCAGTGTGGGATCTTGCTGCTGCCTTCTAGGGCTGAGCTGTTCCAACCCCTTCTGGGCTCTCCCAAGCATGTCCAAATGAATCTGGATAATTCTCCTGTCCCCTTGAGCTACTGAACTTCTCTCCTAGTACTCATAAGCCCTTGTATGTTCCTTGTCAGGAAACCTGCATGGACCATTCATCTGTCTCTGGGCTTCTTGCAGCCAGAGAAAGTCTGGCCCCTCCCAATGGAACTTCTACTTATTACAGATTAGCTCGCCCTTCTGGCCCTCAGCCAATTAGCAATGTGTCTCTCCAGGTGCATGACTGATTGGGTGCATTCTCTAGGCTGGCAGGGTTAGTGTTTTACTCCACCACAGGGATCAGATAAGTACTTAAGGTGGGTAGAAAGACATCATGGGGGTAGGGGCCCAGCAACTCCTGGGGCAACCTTTGTTCCACCTCTAGCATGCTAGGATAAGAGATTCGTGGCAGTGAGCAAGTGGATCTGTGCACTGTCACAAGGCCATAGCATGGACCCAGGGCTACGCGGAAGACGTAGGTTTAGATCAGAAATCTTTCTTTTGTCCTTCTGTCCCAGCAGCATGCTCAGGGGCGCTGGGTACTTTCCCCACGCAAGAGGCCTCTCCAGCCAATTCAAGACTGGTCCTTACCTCAAAGCAGGCTGGCCACAGCAAGTGGCCTCAAGACTAGGAAGGATGTAGGTGAAGTGATGCTAAAAGATGCCCGGAGGAGGCGAAGCAGGGAGGGATCAGTGAACAGACGCCCTTTGTCTTCAGGGTGAACTGGATCCGGCTCCATCTTGCTTTAAACCTTGCAACATGGTACTCCACTGATTCTGAGCCATTCTTCTGCAAAGCATGGCACAATAAACAGTGCGAGCCAACTAATTATCTTCACAACCTGGGAATGCAGCTGGCCACAAAAAGACAGCGTGTGGAAACCTGCCACTAATGTGACTGTCTGAAACCTGTGTTAATTTCACAGTGTTTGGTGTGTCAGCCAAAAGGGTCACGTTTGCAATTGGATTGCATTTCTAAGCTCAGTCTTTTCTATGTCTTTCCCCGAGGTCAAGACCAAAGACACACGAGGAGCAGAACGCAAACACACAAGCAGGAGCAGAGATCCTCCAAGTCTTCCCTCCCCAAGAAAACTCTGAAAGAGAAAGGTAAAGAGGCAAATTATTTGGGCGGAGACTGACAAGTATTAATGGGGGAGAAATGGACAAAGGTGCTTAAGAAACGTCCCAAATCTGGCAACATCTCATGTTGTTTACTTCTATAATGCATTATACATAGGAGCTCTGGGGAATCACCCTCCAGGATCATGGTCCATACAGAGATGGAATAAAGTCAGTAACATAATGGAACCGGAGACCAAAACAGACAAATGAGGGCAGGGCTAAATGGTTAAAACAGCTGTGCTGCTGCACCCCAGAAGAGGTTGTTATTAAGTGAGGTGATAGAAATGTAGCCGTGTTAGTCTGCTGTAGCTGAAACAAAATACAGGACAATGTAGCACTTTAAAGACTAACAAGATGGTTTATTTGATGATGAGCTTTTGTAGACTCTGCGCGGGGGTCTCAACAAAGACTCTAGCTATCTTACCCATTTCAAAGATAGCTTCCCCAATTATCACCTCTAATACCATTAGCTCACAGACATTTACCTCCCCCCAACTGCATCCCCCTTCTGTTCTGTAATGTGATTTGTCCTTTTCATATGTGTTCATTTTTTTAAATTGTATCCTTTGGTATATATGCTTGTGGCAATTTTCTTCCACTATTTGATCTGAGGAAGTGGGTCTGGCCCAGGAAAGCTCATCATCTAATAAACCATCTTGTTAGTCTTTAAATTGCTACATAGTCCTGTATTTTATTAAGCGAGGTGAGACATTCTGCAAGGGTCTACACTTGAAAATTAGAGTGACCTAAACTCGGAGCTGCGAACAATGTCACACCGAGAGCACCGTCGTTAGGTTGGTCTAAGCCTGATGGAAATGTGCGTAGGTCAGTGGAAGAATACTGCGGTTGACATAGTCTTGACAATAGTCTTGCAAAATAGTAGAGAGAGGAGGGTGATCAATTGTTCTCCATGCCCACTGAAGGTACGACAGGAAGCTTAATCTGAGGCAGAGGAGACTGAGGTTAGATATTGGGAAACGCTTTCGAGCGATCAAGGCAGCTAAGCTCTGGAATAAGTTTCCAAGGGACTCCGCTCCACTGGGAGCTTTTAAAAACAGCTTGACAAACCCTTCTCAGGGAGGGTCTAGTTTTTATTTGTTCTGGCCACAATGCAGAGGGGGCTGGCCTCGATGGCTTTTGGAGGCATGGGCGGTAGGTGATGCAGGCAAGGGAAGGCATTACCTTCCCAAAACTGCCTAGACTGCCCAGCCACCAAGGAGGGGCTGAGGCCACACAGCAGCCCAGCAGCCGGGGAAGACTGGGGGCCGTGGTGTGTGGCAGCCCCGGCCTTCATCTGGGGTTGGGTGGGGCTTAGCTGGGGGGGAGGTTGTGAAGAAGTGTGGTCTATGGGGAAGGGGTGTGGCTTTGGGCAGAAGGGGCGGGGCTTCAGCTGCCTTCCCCAGGTGGGCTGTCATCCGCTGCCCATGTCTGGAGGTCCCTTCCAGCTTGGCATGTCTATGAAACCCTGTAGGAAACAAGCAAAGGCTACTGGATGTGCAGATTATCTGAAGCCAAGTATTTAACGCCATCAAGACTATAACAGATGTGTCTTCAGAGACAAAAGCAAAAGCACCCCCCGTGTAGCGCGCTCCGCAGACGAGGTTATGAATGAAGCAGTGCAGTGCGTTTGGTTACCACCGTGCTATTTAAAATGCATGAAATATAAAATAATTTTCTTCTCCCTCTTTTTTTTTTGTTTTAATGGATTGCTTGAAAAATGGCTTGATCTTCCACAGAGACTGGGTCATAATAAGAGCATGCTATATGAAACATTCATCATTGTAACTGCCACTGTCACGATGTCTTTATTGGCCATTAGTTTCTGTCAGTGAGGAAGCCAGGGCAGGGCTAAGAAGAGATGAATGAGGGGTCAGGGGTCAGAGGCAAAGTACTTGGGAATTTGATGAATTATAAATTTGCTGTAGTTAACAAAAAGTTAAGTTGCAGTGGCTATAAAATATTCATCTGTTCAAAGAAAGTTAAAAAAATAATTGCAGAACATTTCAATTAAGACGGGTTCCCTCTAGGCAGGCATTTTCATCAGGGATTCAATCTGTTCTCGGATTTTGACGGAAGTTTTTGAAGTGAATAAAAATTGTGCAGATTAAACAAAATAAAGGTTTCATTGAAGGGAGACCTCGCTAGAGGCGGGCGGGGGGGGAAGTGCGTCAAGCCACTTTTCGGTTTTGGCTGTTGCATTCAGAGAAACTGGCAGAGGTGAAAGCGAGGCAGTGCACCCCGGGGCGCTGCACCGGGAAGGAGGCAGTGGCGGGAAGGGGCGCTTGGCTGCAGGAGGAGATGCGGGATGCTCCCAGCTGAATTCCCAGTGCTCGCCTGCTGGCTGTCGCGCTAAGCAGCAGGCAGGTTACAAGGGCTGGCTGGGGTCCGGGCCTGCCACAGCACCTCCCAGAAGGCCGTTTAGGGAGGGCGGCGGGGGGGTGTGAAGCTCCCCATCCCCTCAGATTCCCACCGGGATGCGGTTTGCTGTGGTTCCCTTTCTCGTCACTCTCCAGGAGCAGGAGGCAAGCGCACAGCCTGCCGTGACCTCTCCCCTCTCCCTGTCCTCTGCCCTGAGTGCCCACCCTCCTCCCTCACCCCAATCCATTACCCCTCAGCCCCTCCTCACACCCAGTCTGAATCCTGCCCCCCCACGTCCCAACCCTCTGCTCCTCAGCCCCTCCTCACACCCCAACCCTGAATCGTCACTCTCCAGGAGCAGGAGGCAAGCGCACAGCCTGCCGTGACCTCTCCCCTCTCCCTGTCCTCTGCCCTGAGTGCCCACCCTCCTCCCTCACCCCAATCCATTACCCCTCAGCCCCTCCTCACACCCAGTCTGAATCCTGCCCCCCCACGTCCCAACCCTCTGCTCCTCAGCCCCTCCTCACACCCCAACCCTGAATCCTCTTCCCCCCCACCA